CGGCGGCTCCCCCCTCGCCGGCGGAGGTCGCGGGAGCCCAGTTAAAGGAGGCGTGTGTAAAGATTTTGCAATGTCCCTGCATGGTGTTGTAGACTTTCCTAGCAAAGAAACCGGCTTCGGCTTCTTTAAAATCCCCGACGACTCACCTGATTAACCTGCCTGCGGTTCTGAGCTGACCAGGTAAAGCGAGCCCCCGCACCCCGCACCCCCCCGCACCCCCGCCAGCTGACATTGCATGGGGGGCATGTTTGTGCTTGGAGATGAGCCGCTGCCAGGAGCGCTCTACCCCCCCACCCCCCTCGCTCCATTCCACCTTCAGCCCTTGCCAATTGCACTTGCTCAGAGTCATTCCCCCAAAAAATCCAGCTTTGGAAAAAGCCGCACGACAGCACCGGCCACCCGGGGTTCAGTGGCTCTCGCCTCTCGGACAATTATTTAGAATTACTGGCCCGGGTGTGTGTGGGGAGGGGGGTGGGGGGGGTGGGGGGAAGAAGGGAAGGAGAATGATGTTTTGGCTGCTGACAGATCCTACCCCGCAGGTTTTGTGTGTGTGTGTGTGTGTGTGTGTGTGTGTGTGTCCCTCCCGCCCAGGGTCAGGAGTGCCGGGAAAGTGACGAGGCTTTAGCCAGCAAGAGTTTGAGGCCGGGGTCCCGGGGTGGCTCCGGCGGCTGCGAGCGGAGCAGGGGGACCGGACTCTGCCAGCCGGTGCCGGGGCGCGCGTGGCTGTGGCGGCGGCTGCCCGTGCCGCCCTGCCCCCCCCGCCGTGCCCTCTCGGGAGCCCCGAAGTGTCCCGGCTGCGGCGCGGGGCGAGGCCGGCGGGGGGGCCCGTCCTCGTCCCCGTCCCTCCCCCGCCTCTCGCTCCTTCCTGGAGCACTTGTGCGGGCTGCCGGCGGGAGCGGAGCAGGCCCGGGGAGAGGGAGCCGTGCCCGGCGGGCGGGGGTCAGGGCGCTGCGCTGCCGGCCGCGGGCTGCGGGAGCGGCGGCGTGGCCGCCCCATGCGGGACGCGCTCCGCGCCGCCCGTGCCGGGGTGTCGGGACCCGCGGGCGGACGCGCGCACACAAAGGCGGCGGGGCCGCGCGCTGCCGGGATCAGGAGGGGCGAAGGAAAGTGTGCAAAGTCCACGCACTGCCCGCTCCGCCTGGCACTTAGCCCTCCCAGCGCCGGCCGTGGGGAGGAGGGGGCGTTTGGGGGAGCGGCTGCCTGTGGGGTCTGAGTGTGACCTGGCGGTGAGGAGTTTTTTTTTTCCCTTTTGTAATTTTTTTTTTAAATTAATTTTATTTTTAATTTCACCCTGGTCATTAATGCCATGAAGGCATGACTGATCTGGAGGTACATGTTGAAGTGCTGCAGGGGATGCACTCTGTGTACTGGTTCTAGTTAATATGTTTTTCATGATCCCAGAGAAAAGAGAACTGCATTTAAGAGATGACTAAATAATGGGGGAGGCAAGTAAAAATGAGTAGAATATAAAGGAGACGAAAATGAAGGTGAATGGTAGTGTGGGAGGGCAGGCACTGAGCAGCTTGGGCCTCTCTTCTGTAATTCTCCCCCTTCCTTATACCATTCCCCTGTCCCACTGCACCCCCCACCCCCTGGAATAGTATCTTTTCATGCTATTAAGGATATTCTAACAGTAAACATAACACAACAGAAAAATAGATTACACCCCCCCCCTTCCCCCCCCTGCTTCAACCTATCACTGTCTGACTGTCTGTGACTGGGAGGGAAATCCAAGTGCCCTTTGTATAAACCCACCAAAGTTTTAGGCATTTATTAGCTGCACTGTTTAAAATACAACATATAAAACTTGCTTGATACATTTCATTATTACTTCCCTGTTTTATTTCAGAGGACAAAATGTTCTGGTGTAGTGTGCCTCCCCTCACTTTCAGAATGGGAGTAGTTTACAATATAACCTACATTAGATTATACATGGTGCGTGCATAGCATTTCCACAGAAAATAGTCAAAGACTTAGAATGACGAAGCGACTCATGTGGTTATGATCTTCCTTGTCTTGGGAGCATCAAGGTAGCTGGGGCTCAGCATGCTGGGGAGGGGGGCTCCGTGGTGTGAGGTGTTTCATGTTGGTGCAGGAATCTGGCAGGTCTCCTTTTAGAGGACTTTAAAAATGTGCCGGGGGCAGGAGAAGGTAAATATGACATTCAGCGTGCTCATTATCAAAATAAGGAAAACAAATCGATTGCATTAACTGTCTGTGCAGTATCACAGTTATTCCAGAGTATTTTGTCAGAAATTAAAAGGTTACCACTGGAGTACTATATCCATATCTCCAGCCTGGCACCACTTATTACTGCAATGGTATTTCAATATTAAGTGATCTTAGAGATACTTCGTCTTTCATTTTGAATCCCGAATTTGAATCAGCATTAGGATGTCAGGGCTGTGCGATAAGGTATAACAAACTAAGTAGACAGCTGAAGGGCTCCTGGTGAAGGTGTTGCTGAGAAGGATATCTTGGGCTGTTCGCAGTAACCTTGTTTACAGGGACATTTCAATTGCAACCTGAATTTCAGTGAGAGGCTGCCTGGACTAATGCCTGCGTGTCTGAAACCCATCACGAGTGTCGTTTGCACTCTAAACCTTCTCTCTGCCTTCCTTGCATAATTGTAAAAACTTTTCTGGAAGGTTAGGATGATTTTCTGATATGAAAATTAAGATGTTTTCCTAAGAGGAACACTGCTCTTTGAACTCATGTACATTAGCAACAAAGTATTCATGAGGTTTGATTTTTTTTTTTTGTTCTCTGATGTGTCAGGATCAGTAGTTGCACCAGTCTTTTTAACTTCAAGAATATGGCTTTGATTTATTATATTTTAGCCTCGGTGGTTTCAAACATATTTTGCAGCACATGAAGTCGGTTCAAATCAGAATGTGAAAAAGAGGCATATAGTAACAAGGAACAGTTTTGTAGTGATCTGCTAAATTTTTGTTTTCTTTTCCTAAAGCTGTTCCAGGAAAATCACGTGAATGTAGCGAGTGGGTGCTAAATGCCAGCAGCCACATTGATGAAGAAAAATGCTGTTGAAATACTTTGGAATAATAAATAGGATATGTAATGGTCAACCACAAGATAAACATTTTACACGGTGTTTTTATGGCTCTAAATTGGCTGCATTGTAAACCAAGCTCACTACTCTATTAAGTCATCAGAGTTTTCAATTATTTAAGATTTTCAGTCAGGCCATCTAATACAGTCGTCATCATCTCCATCAGAAAATTATGCGTAAGGTTGTAATTCCTTGTTGTTGCTATGTGAGGGCTTTGTTGTGGATGGCAGTTTAATTTTGACTTATCAGGACAAATATTACAAAGCATGCACACAGGAAAAAAATGATGTGGAAATAGCCCCAGCCCTATGAAATGGGGATAGTTACGGCGCTGAAATGTACCTAATACAATTTGAGATCCACTCACTAAGAAACCTTGACAGTATCTGCCTTGCAGGTACCGTGCATTTGGAAATACTATATCTCCATTTAAATGCAGATCTTCAGTTTTCTCCAGGGGGCAGTTGGCGAATCTTTCGATTGAACCACCGGTACTAGAAAAACTAACTGAAGATTTACTCATGAACAAGAGACCCTTTCAAGTCTGCTTTTTTGAAATAATGATTATAAAATTTCCTAATATTGCAATTTTATATTGATTTTGAATGCCTTTTCAGAAGTCACAGAGAAGGAGTAGTGCCTTTTACTCAAGGTATGCCAATGTCTGCACGCTTGTTTAGCAATCCTAACAGAAATAACTGCTACAGATAACTTCTTTGTTTTTACATGGCTATTGTGTTTGCATGTGAGTTTTGTCAAATGGACAGAGCAGTCTTGCTTTGATTTTGACCTAGATTCCTCCTGATTATTCCAATACAGCTAGTACCTGCTTATTTCCCACTGTGAAAATAGGAGAACAACTGTTGATGGTATCTAGCTGGGGCTGCATGGGCAGTAGGCATGCATGTCCAGTCCCCTCCCCTCCTCCTTGCTGGCTTCCTTAGTAATTGATAAAATAGCACTGGGAGGGTCAAAGAGGGTGCTAGCCTGTATTTCCCCTCCTGTGAATTTTCATTCTTTGAGGGTTTGAGTCAAAGAAAATAGTGGGGAGACAAAAGAGTAGAATGAGTGAATTTATTTCCATCTCCCTATTTGGCGTGAAAATTTTACACGCTTACAGGGACGAACAGCGCCATAAAACAAGTCACTCATCCACCTTATTCCATATTTGCTAGAAACTCAGTGTCAGCAGGTGCTAATCCTCCTCAGAGGGGTTTGTACCATCTAGTTTCTAGTCCAGTTTTCTATATTGTTTGTCAGCTCTTTAGTTTGCAGTAACCCAAGGATTGAATTAAATGCCCAGGACCCAGGGAATGGCAGCTCCCTGCCTGGGATGCCGGCATCACAAACTACCTGAAGCAGCACAGGCAGTAGGTCCTGATCTTTTCTGTGCTGCAGTCCATGCACTCTATGCATTCCTGGCTGCTCCTGTCTTCCCACCGGGGGCAAGGGTGCTGCCTGGAGATTCTGCCCTTGTCCCTGTGCCAGAGCCTTGAGACTGGAAATACCATCCATATTATGCTTACCTGTTAATGGCGTATAACCCACTGCCTTCAATACCCCAGAGAAAACGTGCACTTCAGCCTCTGCGCGGAGTTCAGGCAGATCTGCAAAGTCCAATCTTACGTGCACCAGCGTTAATGGCAGAGCTCCCATTCAGCTTAATTGATATTCCTGTAAACATCTGCAGGTTTCTGTTTCTAGTGGAGGCTACAGCTGGGTGGACTTCTTACAG